TTTGAATATTAATTCTGTTCTCAAAGGTAGAGACAATTTTATAGAAATAAACAAAGTAGTTTTTCCAAGATTCAAAATATTTTTATAATTTTTAACTTAATACAAATATAAAAATGCTTCCAAGATGAAATTCCAAACCACTTGCAAAATTAGCTTAAATTAAGAAAATCTTTAAGAAAAAAAAAAAAATGAAAATGAAAAAGAATGAATATTATTTATTTTCTTCTGATGATATATAAACAAATTTATTTATCTGTTCTTCTGAACAATTTCATGACGTGTACATCTGGATAATGGACATCTAGCACCAGGCAATTGCAAACTTAATTTTTGAAGTTAACTTTAATTCTGGTTAGTGACGTTCTTATATTATGAATTATTTTGAGCTAATATCCTCATCTTTGTCATTTGTATCATAATGTTGGCCACCCCCTTCAGCACCCCACCTGAAAGCTTCTCCACAAATTCTTTACTTAGCCAACTGTTTCTTTATAAGGAAACATTTGGTCTACAGTGACTGAACAGCCAGTAAAATTTGAGTTAACCTTTTTCTTTGCTCCTTAGTTATTGGGTTAGGATCAAAATGTAGTATCTGTTCTCATCTCCAAAGGTAATATTAGTGATTTCCTTATAAGGAAATATTGAGCTTTCATTGACAGAGCAGACACTTAATCAGTAGATTTTATTTTTTTTAAACTTGCTATTTTCTCAAGAGGAACCATTCAAAGATGAGGATATTGCTCATGGAATCACGACAATGTTACGTTTGAGAATTTATGGCTCCATTCTTCATTCGATGTTCTTTTTACAAGATTCAAAAGAGTTGTTCTAAACAAACAAAAAACAAAAAAAAACCTTTACTCAAAATGGCTTTACTTGAATATTAACTTTTAATTTTGTCTTTTAGAGAATGCATTTTTGATTTTTCTTTTTAATTTGAAGCTAGAAATGATGAATGTTTTTTAAATTCTAATTAAAAAAAAAAAAAAATAAAAAATAAAATCAGATTTAATTCCCTCTGCTTCCCAGAATTACTTTTTATTAAAAAAAATCTTTTCATCATGTTGGTTAAGCCAAATAGACTTAGAAAATTCCCTAATCACAAAAAATAACAAAAAGACTGGACAGCCTTCACCCCACCCTAACCCCTAAAGCATCTCTCTCTCTCACACACACAATGGTCAAGAAAAAGTGTTGCATAAATGACACAAATCCCAAAACTGAAATTCTACTGCAGTTACAAATTCAGTCAAACAGGTCTCGTCTCAAGTACCCAAAACTTAAAACTGGAGAAAGATTTTCACCTTCACTCTCAGTTCAATGCATCCCATGTTTTAAGTGATATAAATATTTACAACATCAGAGGATGAAAGGATTTCTGAAAGTGT